TTACCCAGGCTGGAGTGCAATGGCACGATCTCGGCTCACCGCAACCTCCGCCTCCTGGGTTCAGGCAATTCTCCTGCCTCAGCCTCCTGAGTAGCCAGGATTACAGGCACGCACCACCATGCCCAGGTAATTTTTTGTATTTTTAGTAGAGACGGGGTTTCACCATGTTGACCAGGATGGTCTCGATCTCTTGACCTCGTGATCCACCTGCCTCGGCCTCCCAAAGTGCTGGGATTACAGGCTTGAGCCACCGCACCCGGCCGTATATACATTTTTTGAGGTAGGGTCTGGCTCTGTTGCCCAGGCTAGAGTGCAGTGGCATGATCATGGCTGCAGCCTTGACCTCCTGGGCTCAAACGGTCCTCCCACCTCAGGCACCTGGAGTACCTGGGACTACAGGTGTGCACAACCACACCCAGCTAATTTCAATTTTTTTTTTTTTTTTTGGTAGGGGGCAGTGGGGTGGGTAGTTCTCCCTATGTTGCCCAAGCTGGTCTCAAACTCCTGGACCCAAGCAATCCTTCCACCGCAGCAACCCAAAGTGCAGAGATTACAGGCATGAGCCACCACTCCCTGCCAATTAAAAAAAAATTTATTCTATTAATTACTAGCCATGTTGCCCTGGGAAAATTAACCTTTATGAGTTTCATTTTTCTACTTCAGGGATAAAAATTCTTCTAAAATTTATGAGGAAGATTAGGTGAGATAATGCATATAAAAACACTTAGTACTTAATCATTGGGAAGAAAAAGAAGAAGGAAAAGGAAGAAGAGGAGAAAAGAAAAAAAGACAAGGAAAAGAAGCAAAGGAAGGGAGGGAAGAGGAAGAAGGAGAACAAGAAGCAGCAGCAGTTGCCATCACGGCTGCCCTTTGGTAATAAGGGACAAATGACAACTGTCTTCAGTTTTCTTGTTTTGGATCATACAAGTGAATGATCCTTTCTACCCTCTCAGCAGCTGTGTATGAGTGTTATAGGTTTACAGCTATAACAACAATTACTATATGCTTATGTGGATAAGAAGAGTCCACAGACCCTTTTTAACCATCAGATACCAGTATAGTACAATATAGTAAAAGGAGTAGAAGGCAGAATCCCATAAGTTTTGCCAGCAGGGAATCTAGGCAAAAAGCAGACAGTATGAGTCAATATAAATTGTGTTCTAGAAAAACCACTGTGACTTGGAGTGAGAAAACTTGGATTTGAGCTTCAGCATTTAAGAAACCATTCCTCTCGGCAAGTCACTTGTCCTCTCTGGGCCTTGGCTGTCCTGCCTCTGAAGGGGAGTTAATAACCTCATAAACATTTTATGAGGATCAAATGAAACAATGTAGGTAACAGCGCTTTGTTAACTGAAAACACCAAGCAATAGAAAGTTCAACTGTTGCTATAAGAAATTCACAGTGAGCTTCCACAGTCAGAGGGAAGGTTTGGAGCTGACAATGGTAGATAACATCAAAAAGGAATGTGAGTTCTCATCTCAGAAGAGAGGAAACAGGATTTGAGGAGACAGCAGAATACTGCTGAAGATTTGCCAGGTGGCAAAGAGGATGCAGTGAGACCTGGACCATCCCTTGAATGCCCTTCCTGTAGGCATCATGGCATATTTTATACCTTGCATAAAGAGTCAAGTTACATCTTACATGGGATTAAATTCTAAAGTTAGGGCATGAGGGAAACAAAACATAAGTAGTCAAAATCATTCTTAAATAGCCCAAAAATCATCTGGAAACTGTGATATATATGGTTTTGTAATACATCCCTTTACAGTAATTTTGATCACATTATAGTTTGAAGCAGCTGTGCAGATGTCTAGGTGTTCAAATCATTCTCCCTTCAGGTAATTATCAAAGCTGTACCATGAACAGAAGATAGAGAATTCTGAAATGTTTTCACTTGCCTGCAAGGTTTACCCTATTCTGTTTTTATTACTGAATCTTTATAATCTGGTACCTGTTCATGATACCGGTCAGTTGGTGTTGTGAGGGGTATATAAAATAACATATTTGAAAGCATCTATTACAGAGCAATGCACAATAAATGACTGCAGTTAAAATGAAAACTTGCTTCCCCAAAAGGACTAATACCTGGAGCTTCAAAAAGTGGTTGCCTGTCCTTCCCTCAGTTGGGCATTTGGTGTGGTGGCCCACAGGCCAGCTGTCACTCCTGACCTTGGGCATTGGTCCCATCGCATCCCAAGCAGGGCGTGCGTGTGTGAGGGGAGGGTGTTAGGTCCTGCAGTCAGAATCTGTGAGGCCATTGAATGGCTTTGGAGTGTTATTTGGCATCTGTTGTGTTTCCTTTATCCCTCCTTTGTTTTGGATATACATTTATTCCAACCGACTTTAATTTTTCTAGGGTAGTATTATTCACATAACAGAAAAAATAGAAAAATATGTTTACTGCGGCCCTGATGTTGCTGGAATTAATAGAGGGCTCCTTGAAGCAAGACATAATCTGTAGCTTCACACACCCCTAGGTGGAGAGAGTGAGCTGGGCACGTGGGGAGGGGTGGGCAGGGCTCAGCCTGTTGGGATCTGAGCTCAAGCAAGCCAACTTCATGGCAGCTTAGCGTATCCCCAACAGCCCTCTCTGCATGACAAGAGTGCTTTTCACATAGTAAACTAAATATATTTGGAAGCTACTGCACAAGCTATGAGGATGTTAGAGACCCTGTATTCTTTAACTACGACTGAGGTGGGAATATTTCATGTGGGACATCTGTGAACAAACCAGGACCATGTATCACAGAGAACTAGGCCCCTTCACCTCCCCAGCCTGAAGCCTGTTCTCAAGGTGCTTTAGAATCTCACAGTAAATAAATACGCAGAGGTTTGAGTTCATATATTGGTGTTCTACAGATATTTTTTAGGCACGAATAGATCCTTCATGTTCAGGAAGACCCGATAATTATATTTCTTGACTCTGTGGGATGTGTCAGTCACTGCTAGGCAGACAGGCTGAGATGGTGGACAAAAAGATGCTGCAAGCCCGCTTGGAAGTTAGAAGTCTAGTACAGCTTCACCTAAAAGATCTATTTACCATGACCGAAATGTCTTATACCTGTGCTATTCAATATATGACTACTGAGTACTTGAAATATGGCTAGTGTGATTAAGGAATTGAATTTTTTTTTTTTTTTTTTTTTTGAGTCTTGCTTTGTTGCCCAGGCTGGAGTGCAATGGCTTGACCTCGGCTCACCTCAACCTCCACCTCCCAGGTTCAAGTGATTCTCCTGCCTCAGCCTCCCAAGTAGCTGAGATTACAGGCATGCCCCACCATGCCAGCCAAACTTTGTATTTTTAGTAGAGACAGGGTTTCTCCATGTTGATCAGGCTGGTCATGAACTCCCGACCTCAGGTGATCTGCCCGCTTTGGCCTCCCAAAGTGCTGGGATTACAGGTGTGAGCCACTGAGCCCCGCCAGGAATTGAATTTTTAATTTAATTTAATTTTATTTCAATGAATTTGAGTGTAAGTAGCTGTATATGGCTGCCGGCTACTGGACTGAACGGTGCCGTCCTGGTCAGTGCAGTGCAGAAGGATGTTTACTACGAAAGGCTAAGACCTGAAGTCAGAAGTCCTGGATTTGAGCCTTGCCACTGTCCTCAACTAATTGTGTAACTTTGAAGCTAGTTAAACTTATTAAGCCAGACTTGGCACAAGAGGGCAATTACCTCTTGAGGTTACTATGAAGATTAAATTATACATTTGTGGGATAAAGTTCTTTACAACATACAAAGTACCATGAAATGTTATTTTAATGAGTCTATTAACATTAACGCGAGAAATCTACGATTTCAATGTCATTTTCTGTACATTTGCACTTAAACAATTGTTTAATTATAGACAATTTGGGGTATTAGTGAAAGCCCTTGAGCCCAGTTAGTGAGTAATTATTCTTGTTGTCTTTCATAAGATTTGTAATGGAAACTATTACTCTCTAATATTATTAGTTGCCTTGTGTTGCTGCTAATAAATATTTGAGTGTAAGCGATGACACAACAAATCTCTTCCTTCCCTCAGGCTAAAGGAGGCATCCATCCTCTTTTAGTTATTTCTCCTGGGGTCTGTCAAAGGAGCAATTAGAGGTGAGATCCTATGCAACTTTGCTGTACTCCATAACTCCAGCTCTGCCACCACGCCTGAGATTTGTGTAAGGATAAAGATAGGACATTGTGTGTGCAGTCTCCCCTTGGGAGATTTATCTGCCTGTGTCCCTTGTGGTGACAGGTGGGCATTGCAGGGTGTGGTCTTACCCATCGTGGAAGGGGTAGCCCCAAGTACTATTGGCCATGAGGCATTTAGGGCCCTTGTTGATTGAAACGGCTGAGATGATAAATGAGTATCCAGCTCCCAAGAATCCAACCACAGCAAATATTGTGGAGGTAAACATCTGAAAGAGAGGAATAAAGACAGTCAAATTCTCCAGGTGGTCTAGAGGGTACACTCAGCACACCTAATCCATGTGCCGTTGAACACAGTGACTACAAGAAGTTATGGGGTAGGAGCTAGTCTTTATAGTAGATTAGACCTGTGGGGTCTTCTAGAATGAATTTTGGTTTCTTTTCCCTTCCGTTTCTTTTTAACCTTTTCATTGATGACTGAGGTGTTGTTTCTGTTTTGATACCTTTGAGCCATGGCCTTGTAATCTTGTTAAAGATACACTCTCCTCCCCAGGGCTGATAGATAAAGCCAATCTATTATAGAATAACCTTTGGAGTGTCAGTAATCTTAAAACTTTTCTGATCAAATTATCCTGCTAAGGCCAGTCACTGTGGTGTCTCAAGTGACAGGCAGGTTCTACTTATGAGAAAGAATAAAAGTTTAAAACCCCTCCTCATTGGCCGTCATTATGTTCCTCGAGGCCAAAAAGATCAGGTCTAACCTCTCTTCCATTTGGCAGCACTCTTTAAACTATCTGAAGATTGCCTTGACATCTCTCACCCCTTCCACACTTAGAGTTTTCTCTTCTTGAGGTTAAGCAATCAAAAAAATCCCATTCTTCTAAGTATTTTTCTTTTTCTTTTTTTTTTTTTTTTTGAGATGGAGTCTCACTCTGTCCCCCAGGTGGGAATACAGAGTGCAATGGTGCGATCCCAGCTCACTGCAACCTCTGCCTCCTGGGTTCAAGTGATTCTCCTGCCTCAGCCTCCTGAGTAGCTGGGATTACAGGCTCCTGCCACCACGTATGGTTAATTTTTGTATTTTTAGTAGAGATGGGGTTTCACCATGTTGGCCAGGCTGGTCTCGAACTCCTGGTCTTAAGTGATCCACCCGCCTTGGCCTCCCAAAATACTGGGATTACAGGTATGAGCCACTACACCTGGCCTTCTTTGAAATATTTTCTATGATGGAGATTAATTAATGAAAACCAGATTAGACCACCATATTTCTTTTTTCAATTATAAAATCAAAATAGAATTATTGACTACAAAAGGCAGAAGCAATCCTGGAGTCCATCTAGGTTAACTGCTTCTTACAGATGAAAAAAATGTAGGCCCAGAGATGTTAAGAACTTTTGCAATATCCATCCTAAACAGTAATTAGAAAGTACCATGAAAATATTTAAAATTTTGGAAAAAGAGGCTGAAAACTATCACCTCTATTGCTTTGATGACAAAGCACAGGGTTTAAAGTCGGCAGACCCAGACCAGGCTTATATCTCAGCTTTGGTAGTCTTCTGTGTGTAATGACTTTGCATAATTAATGTGTCCTCAGAGCCTTAGTTTTGTCATCTTAAAATGGACATGACAGAGACCACCTTAAATGTCTGTTGTAAAAATTAGACATGGTAACCTAAGTTAAATGTCAGCTGTTTTCCCTTTCTCTTTCATGTTATTAATAATATTATCATAGTACATATTTGGGGTAGGGTGGGGTTTGAAGTAAAGAGGGCCTGATCATGCCTGGGTGATTGGAATCTATGTAATAATGGAGTTCTACTTTAGCTGGTATTCATTTTCATATCATATACCAATGTATTTTGGATGCAACTTTTTAAAATAACTCTTTTTAATAGAAAATTTAACTCTTTTGCCAACTCATCTGATTGATGCAACATTTTGATACCAAGCTCTAACATCATGTGCTTTGTCTGACTCTCCTTGTAGAGCTGACCCTTCCATTCTTCGTTTCACAAACTTTTTATTATTATTATTATTTTTTGAGACAGAGTTTAGCTCTTGTTGCCCAGGCTGGAGTGCAATGGTATAATATCGACTCACTGCAACCTCTGTCTCCTGGGTTCAAGTGATTCTCTTGCCTCAGCTTCCCGGGTAGCTGGGATTACAAGCATGCACTACCACACCTGGCTATTTTTTGTATTTTTAGTAGGGACAAGGGTTCTCCATGTTGTTCAGGCTGGTCTTGAACTCTTGACCTCAGGTGATCTACCCGCCTTGGCCTCCCAAAGTGCTGGGATTACAGGCATGAACCACCATAGCGGGCCAGATTGCACAAACTTCTGTCATAGCACAATGCCTCTAATACATTAATGCATAGCTTTTTACTTTTTTTTTTTTTTCTTCACAGGGTCTTGGTCTGTCAGCCAGGCTGAGTACAGTGGTGCAATCATGGTTCACTTCAGCCTAGACTTCCTGGGCTCAAGTGATTCTCCCACCTCAGTCCTCAGAACCAGGACTACAGGCATGTACTACCATGCCCGGCTAATTCATAACTTTTTGTGGCTGTCTTCTCCAAATACAGCACAAGTTCCTTGAAGTCACGAACAATAAGTTAGTTGAAGATAGAACATTGTTCCACACTTACCATAGTGTTACAGTTTTTCTTCTTCTTAGCTTATCAAAGGCACTGGATAATGACTTATTGCATGTTTTCAGTGACTAAGGTTTCATATTACTAATTGTTTAGATTTTTCCCCTTATTGTTTATGTTTAGGGTATCTAAATCCACCCTCAGCATCAAGAACATTCATGACTTTAACTTAGGTCAGAAGTAAGTGAACATTTTGGTCAATTTCTCATGTTAGAACAGGCAATCTTTTTTCCATAGGATATATGGTTGAATAATTTTGAGAATTGCTGGATTACATAAATAAGTTTCGTTCCTGCTGTACTTCTAAGAGTATAGTACTTATAAGACATGAATGTGTGAAACCTCTGAGAAGGAAATCTACTTCGTATGCTGGAATATAAGGAAAATCATTTCCTCTCACATTATCCTCAGAAATGAGGGAATTACCTTAGAGTTGAATCCTTATTTTATCTATCAGACAATAAGGTATTTCCTCAAACACTTTATTTTGAACAACCAGTGGAGAAGACATTAGTCAGAAACAACTCCATCATTGTTGGATGACAGAATTGTGTTAAAAATTTTTTTCTTAACACATATTTATTATTGTAAAAAGGTTGACCCCACAGTTCCTAGTTCTGGATACTATAGTTAACAAGCCTTTTAAAGGGCATTCTAGACCAGGCAAGGTGGCTCACGCCTGTAATCCCAACACTTTGGGAGGCCGATGCGGGCAGATCATGAGGTCAGGAGTTCAAAACCAGCTTGACCAACATGGTGAAATCCCATCTCTATTAAAAATACAAAAATTAGCTGGGCGTGGTGGCAAGTGCCTGTAATCTCAGCTACTCAGGAGGCTGAGGCAGGAGAATCGCTTGAACCTGGGAGGCAGAGGTTGCAGTGAGCCAAGATCGTGCCACTGCACTCTAGCCTGGGTGACAGCAAGACTCCGCCTCAAAAAAAAAAAAAAAAAAGAAGGCATTCTAAAATAAGCACACTTCATGTTTATAATTGTGGAGATCATTAATATATACCTGTAGAAGGAATGTTTTAACATTGTCTTTGTCTTTCGAGAATTGATATTTATGACTAAGAGTGAAATTTCCTGACAACATCATGCATAGACACAAAAATGTTGTATTTAAACTTAAATGGAAAAGAAGATGTGCTGTGGGAGCTTTTTGATGGTTCAAAGTGTGTCTTTAGTAGTAGAAAATACATTGATGCAAAAGAAACATGAATATTTATTTACTTTAAAATAAATGGGCCAGGCGCAGTGGCTCAAGCCTGTAATTCCAGCACTGTGGGAGGCTGAGGTGGGCAGATCACACGTGCCCAGGAGTTCAAGCCCAGCCTGGGCAACATGGCAAAACCTCATCTCTACAAAAATTAGTGGGGCATGGTAGTCTGTACCTGTAGTCCCAGCTACTCAGGAAGCTGAGGTGGGAGAATTGCTTCAGCATGGGAGGCAGAGGTTGCAGTGAGCCGAAATCACACCACTGCACTCTAGCCTAGGTGACAGAATGAGACTCTGTCTCAAAAAAATAATAAATGGGAGAAATGTCAGTTCACAATCAATATATTAAAATTATTTCATATTTTATATAACATGATTTAAAATATGTTTATGTCACTGAAAGTTTATATATTATTGTTGGTTAAATAGCTTTTCTGAAGTTTCTTCATGGGAAAATAAGACATGGTTTTATGTTCAGATTTGTTTTATACCTGCAGTTGGGTATACATGGTACTTGCAGTTTCCCATTCTTATTGAATCCTATACTTTTTTTTTCTTTGAGTCCTTGTAAGAAAACGCTTTGGAAAATGCTGCTTCAATTTTGTTTTCTTCAGTTTATTTTAAATAGAGATGGGATCTCACTCTGTTGCCCAGGCTGGTCTCAACCTCCTGGTCTCAAGCCGTTCTCCTTCCTTGGCCTCCCAAATTACTGGGATTAGAATACTGGGATTACTGAGCCATCACACCTGGCCTACAATTCTTACTGAGAGCTTATATGGCTGGTTTTCTGTTTCTTAGCCAACTCCATGCTCCAGCCAAATTTCTGTTCAGTTATGTATAGCTAGTATAACTCTAGGATTAGAGCAAGTGAAATCTTACACTTAGGGCAGTTTCTTCTAATGCTACCTACCACCCTTTCAGAAATAGGTTCTGAGTGGTCTGGAAACATTTGTTGACGTGTGGCAGATTGAGTTGTCTTC